TTTTTTTGCACCCTCAGATTCCAGATTTTCAAATAGTTGTATCTCAGCCAAATATTGTATTATCCTAACAAACCATACATCAATGGAAAGATTTTTTATTCAGCTTTCAGATGTATAAATCTCAAATTATATATTATATAAAAAAAATGTACCCTTATGACTGGTTTTGTGGTCCAGGGTCACATATTAGAATGATTTCTGAAGGATCATGTGACACTGCTATATGCTGATAATTCAGCTTTGATCACAAGAATAAATTACATTTTACAATATATTCACATAGAAAACAGCTATTTTAAATTATAATAATTTTTCACAATTTATTTTTTTTTTGATCAAATAAATGCAGCCTTGGTGAGCAGAAGAGACTTCAAATACATTAATAAATCTTACCGAACCCAAATTTTAAAAAATGACCGTTATGACTGGTTTTGTGTTCCAGGGTCACATATTGCATCAGTGCGCGGATGTTTTGTCTGACGCGCTGTACTGACCCTGAAGGAGAGCAATGATTTATCTGTCTGTCGCTTTTAACATTTATTTGATTTCAAGTCACATAAATGTTTTATGCATGGTTTTAGTTTCTGTCACAGGCGGTATATTGCCGATCATGATGTGAATTCTGCTGTGTGATGCGAGTATGCGGCGGTGTTTCATGTGTCTGCGCAGGCATGCGCTGCAGCTGAACGTCATCGCCACGCAGCAGCTCCTCTCTCTGGCGCAGCAGATGCAGCACCTGCAGGCCTTCATCCACATCTCCACCGCCTACGCCAACTGCAACCGCAGACACATCGACGAGGTCATCTACCCTCCTCCGGTCGAGCCCAAGAAACTCATCGACTCTCTGGAGTGAGTGCAATATATCATCATCATCTCAAACTCGCTTACAGAATCTACCCGGCAACCACATCTATGAGCTTATGTTACCTTATGGAGTTAAAACAACCCAGAGCTGTAAGGGAAGAGTGTGTTCAATATCAGACTTAAGGTAATGTCTTTCAACAGAATTATGGTATGCTGAAAAACATATCAAAACTAAATAAAGATAAAACAAGGAGAGAATCGGAATAAAAAAAAAAGCCATAAACACCAGTGTAATTTTAGTATCACTAAGATATTAAAGATACTAAGATATTTTTGGTTAATATTTTGAATTAGTTTATATTTATATATTTTCTATTATATATATTTTATATTTAGTTAAAGTTTGAGTAATTTTGCTGTGTGGTTTTGTCATTTTCTGTGGGGTTTTTATGTCTATGCAATTCTTAGTTATTTTAGCACATCAAGTTAAATTAAAATAAAAACAAGAAATGTGTTCTTGGCAACAAGCTGAAATAAAAAAAAAGTGTGTATGTATGTATGTATGTATGCATGTATGTGTATATATATATATATATATATAATATATTATTCATGATATTTGTATATTTATAAAATATCAATTCATAAAATATATAGGCAGGTTTATATTTTAATGTATAAAGACCTAATACTTTATACATTTTTTTAAATTAATGTTAATATTATTAATATTATAAATGCGTAAAAATATTTGGAAAATATTTACATTTAAATTATTCAGGTTTTTTATATTCACTATAGTACTGTACTTGTTAGATGTATTATTTATTTTATTTATTTAAATATATATTTTGGGTATTTATGTATTTTAATCCTTATTTATTATTTAATCATTTATTTTAATACATTTTTTATTGTTTTATTATTTTAGTTAATGAATTAATGAATTTATTTACATTCCTTTTCCTACTCACTATAGTACTATACTTTTAGATGTATTATTTATTTGAATATCTTTTATTATTCATTCATTCATTTGTAAATTTTAATGACATTTTTATTATTTATTTTAATTTATTCTTTGTTTTTTTTCCCCCATGAACCCCAGTTTAAAAAACACTTGGTTCATGCCACTGGTCATTGCATGTCTGCTTTTCCACGTTATTTGACTCTGTCCAGCCAGATAGCATCAGGATGTTTTGTCTGACACACTGTGCTGACCCTGAAGCAGAGCAGTGATTTATCTGTGTGTGTGTGTGGTGTGTGGTGTGTGTGGTCTGTGTGTCTGTGTGTGTGTGTGTGTGTGGTGTGTGTCCTGTGTCTGTGGTGTCTGGTGTCTCGTGTGTAGGGGGATGGATGACAGTATCGTCTGTGACATCACACCCCGTCTGCTCGCTGACCGGCCCAACACTTACACCTACACCAAAGCACTGGCCGAGTGTGTGGTGCAGCAGCAGAGCGGCAAACTCAACATCGCCATCATACGACCGTCTATCGTGGGAGCCAGCTGGCAGGAGCCGTTCCCCGTGAGTGACGCATCCGCTCGCAACAGTCCTCGCTTTTACAGCTTGGATATCTGAATGATGCGGCTTAATGGTTGCAGATCTGGGCTGGTAACCCAGAGGATTTAGGTTCAAACCTGGACTAATGATTGCATAAACTTAGACATTTCTACATAGCAGAATATCATAGAGATGTTTGGTGGTGTTTATTATCATTATCTAAAACCATAAAAAAAATAAAAAAATCTTTCTTGAAATAATCATTAACTGAAATAATATATATATATATACTGTGTATATATACATATATATAAACTTAATTTCAGCTGGCTGCCAAGATAACATTTCTCATTTTTGTTTAGTTTATTTTGAATAACTAAAACTAAATAAACTGAAATAAAAAACATTAAATAAAAACTATATAGACATATATTTAAAAAAAATTATAAAAATACATTTTGGTTAACTTTGGGGTTTTTTTATTAAAAAAATAGACATTATTTAAAAAATAATTTTCTTTATTTGAAATAAAATAAACTTAAATTGAAGTAAAATAAAATATTACAAAACCTAATCTTATTTTCTTTCGGTTTTCTTTTCAACATTTTCATTTAGTTTAATTTGAAATGCTAAAATAACTAAAACTAAATAAAATGGAAAACTAAATAAAAACTGTATAGATGTATATTTAAAAAAAATACAAATATTTAGGTTAACTCGATGTACTAAAATAAAACAAAAACAAACAAAATTACAAAAAAAATTAAATAAAAACAGAAAATATAAAAAATAAAATTTTATTCAAATTATTAACAAAAACTATAATAGAATATCAATGATACTAAAATAACACTGGTTTGGTTTTGACTCTTGACTTACAAGCAACCGCTCAGAGCACCCTAGCAACTGCATAGTAATTGTGTCTTTCTCTGTGTTTTACAGGGCTGGATAGACAACTTTAATGGACCAAGTGGTGTTTTCATTGCTGTAAGTATTGCTTCGTGATGTTCTACAGCAGATCTGAAAGTCCTGAACCCCACAGAGCGATCTTAACCCTGTAAAACTGACTTAAAGTGACCTTCTAAGGGCTCTAAATGATCTGCATGATCAAAACTCTGCTGTTAAACCTGTCGCACACAATCTACTGCATGCCTTCTGTCCTCTGATTGATAGTTTAGAGTTTTTTATCAAGTCAAAGCTCTTTTAGTGTAATTGAACAAATGTCCAGCTTCAGCTGGAGCTTCACATGTTTTTTTTTATGTGAAATCTATTGATTTTAGTAAACGTAAACATAACTTTGATATTGTTATCAGTATTTCCAGATGAACACTTACTGGACTGAAGCAGCTCAGCTTTACTTGATTCTCCATCAATCATGTTTTAGAGTCTCAAATCTGATCCTCAGGATCTTTTGAGGAGCGTTTGTTTCCAGAAGCTTTACTTTCACTGTTCCTCAGCGGAGGAATGATCTTCACAAGCCTCCAGAACATCTCACATCTTCTGAGGAGCCTTTATTTATTCAGCTCTCAATCACTGCATTATATGTTTATATGACATATATTATATGTCAAAAGAAGGTACAGCAGATGTGTTGTATGTGTTTGTCTCTGCTGTAGTCGCTGGCTTCTCTTCATCATGGAGCATCTTTTCTCCAGACTGGAAGAGGATTTGAGCTGCAGACTGAAATATACTGAGACCTGCTTCCACGCTTCTGATCTCAGAGATTCATCAGTCAAGACCGGAGGACACGTTAATGAGCGATGCTTTCAGCTGCTGGAATTTGACTCCAAATTTCAAAATGAAACTTTCGGTTGCCAAACACAAGAAGAGTTTCATAACCGCCAAAGAAACTGTGGAAGGATGACGTTTATATCACTGATGGCACTGCGTTCATTCACCCTAACCAACTCTAATTCCAGAACATTAACACTAATTACTAAAGTGCACAGACGACAGGTTTAGTGTTTAATTACTACTTCCTCACGCTTTCATTGATTTAATTGGTTAACGTTTGAAGCGTTTTTCATTACGGGTCTGAACTGAACAGAGTTTCACCAATTAGCTCATTTATTTTACACATTCACACTCATCCGAAACGAGCAGCGTGCTCCAGTTGTGCTGTTTTCAGAGGTGAATCTGAGGAAATGCACCCTGTCTTCAGTGTTTTGAAGTCTCCTGAAATGTCTGTTTAATCACGTTTTCTTCTGCAAAATGCATTTGTCCATCAATGATCTGTGAGGCTTTAGCTGATGTGTGTCTCTCGTGAGAATTTATTTGCATGCAGTTTGATTTTGCATTCATGCTAACGCTTCATTATCACTGACAGTAGTAATGATTTTAATGAGGGTGATCTAGCAAGGTCCTTTGTGTCTGAGGCACAATTGTTTCACATCAACAAGAACCTCGAATCACACTCCTTTCATGCACTCATACCTGGCTCTCTGTGTGTGTGTGTCTAGGGTGAGCAAAATTCAGAATTTCATAGTTTTCTCTCACAATGTTCTCTGTCTTCTTGGGTGTGAATGTGCATTGAAAATTCTTTATTTAAAATGGTAAGACAAAAAAAATTGCATTGCATTCACATTTTTCCTCGTTCAATGAGACAAACTTCCACGCCCTTTCTTTCAGTTTTAAGAAATATTTTAGCATTTGGACTGCATCTAACATGCTAGTTAACTTCATTACCTCTTGCTACCACTATTTTACCGTGGTTTGCGTCTCTGTTTGACCTCTGCTTTCTTCTCTGGCCATCAGTCATCTTTCTTCCCTTTGCTCCTGCAGGAGCGAGTTCTAGTTATTTTCCTTTATTTTCATCACTACTTCATTAGTAGGTACCTCCTCCGCTTCCACAGATGCAGTTCTAAAGTATTGATCTTTCCATGTTCTCATATGAGCACTCTTTTTCTTTTTATCATCTACTTTTAGTTTCACTGCCACAGTAGTGATCTCTCCCATTGCTTCCACCTTTGTTTTTGTCACTAGTGCAGGGCTCCAGACAAAAATGTCAATTAAGGCGCCATTGGCTCCTTTAAGAAGAAAAATGTAAGCACCACATAAGAATTAACTTTTTATTTTTTTAAACTCATACTTTCAGTCATCCTGTCATGTGTATCCCTTACCAAAAAGTAGTATACTTCAAGTTTATTTTAGTAAGTATACTTAAGTAAAGTTCAAGTATATTTTTAAGTATACTTTATTGTCAGTTTGTAAATGTGTACAATATTGTAAAGTTTATCTTGTATTTTATTTGTTTTAACTCTTTTTAAATTGTTTATTCTTATTATTGTTTTTGTAATTTTATTTTAGTTTGTTTAATTATTTTGGCGGTAAGGGTCATCATGGGGGAAAAGATATAACCTTAATTGTATAAAGTGTTCTGTTAAAGCTTGGAAAAAATTCATATAAAAATATTGTTAGTAATCCAGATGAACACTTACTGGACTGAAGCAGCTCAGCTTTACTTGATTCTCCATCAATCATGTTTTAGAGTCTCAAATCTGATCCTCAGGATCTTTTGAGGAGCGTTTGTTTCCAGAAGCTTTACTTTCACTGTTCCTCAGCGGAGGAATGATCTTCACAAGCCTCCAGAACATCTCACATCTTCTGAGGAGCCTTTATTTCTTCATCTCTCAGTCAGCACCGGATTGCATTGCATTATATGTTTGGATCATTTCAATCTCATCTTACTGAGACATATTATTGGAGATACAGAGCGACGACTGATATTTATAGCATTTTATGTCAGTATCTGCTACACTTTTATAAAGATCTTATCGATTTACAAGCATCAGAATTTCGTCATATAAATATCAGCATCTGCAACAAATTGCATATTTTTGCTCAGGCTGACTCTGAATAAATCTGAGCTGTTTTTTCCTCCAGATTCTCACTATATCGGACTATATATGAGCCATAAAAGCCTGATGGATAAATTGATACAAAAAAAAAAAAAAAAACTTATTTTCTTTTATATTTTCTCTCTTTTTTTATTCGTTTGAATTTTATTTTAAGATTTTCTTTTATATTTTTATATTAAGGTTTCAGTAAACTGTTCCATTAAAAAAATAGATTTCTCTGACAGTTATTTTATATGTCAGGCTAAATTATGATGGACAAACTAAACAGACCTAAACATTAAAAGAGCAGTTTTAGTGTGAAACTGAAATCAGAATCATGATGGCTTTTAACTTAAGTTGCACTGAAATTAGTATACAACAAGGTGTTTTAACATCCGTAAAAATGCTATTGTACCTCCTCGCATCGCTCGCTGACCTGGCAAGATTCAAAGCGATGAAAACAATCTGCCCCCGTTTTTAATTAGTCTGTATTTCCTGAAGTCATTAAGCCGTTTCAGCCTCCTAAACGCCTCCGTGAAGCTCACAGCCAAACAAAGGCTCATGGTGCGTTTGGCGTCCTCTCTGAAGAAGCGTGTGTTTTGTGTGTCCCGGTGCAGGCTGGGAAGGGCATCCTGCGCACCATGAGAGCCAGTAATGACGCGGTGGCCGATCTGATTCCTGTAGACGTGGTTATAAACCTGACGCTGGCCGCCGGCTGGTACACCGCGGTGCACAGGTGAGATTTGCTTATGCTAGACCCACAGGTCATTAAACGGAGAATATTAGCATGAAATATCCCTCTGCTGATGTATTTGTGTAAGGCAGAAATGAGCGGTTGTTCACATGTGGCACGGTGTGATTTCCTTGTTCTGTGTTTTTATTTCAGACCGAAAACTGCACTCGTGTACAACTGCACAACCGGAGGCATTAACCCTTTCCACTGGGGCGAGATCGGTGCGTAACATGCTTTTCTATACAATACATATTACATACATGTGATGTAATGTAGTGAAATGTTTTTCCTTAGTTCCTCATCTCACAGTGCAACAACACACAGAAACAACAACGAGTTTAGGACATGCATGTGCATAATAAAAAATTGAATACAGAATGTATGAAGAAATGATGTGAATAAAAGGAATTAGAATAAATGGAAGACAGAATATAGTAGAGAGAGAAAATAAATATAGAAAATACATATATATAAATAAATAAATACATTAGCTATACAGTTGGATTTACAGTGTTGGAGCATTTACTCATATTTTTCACAAATTTTACAAATAAATAGTTTTTAATAAATAGAAAAACTGAAATGGTTTTTTGTTGTAAAATGAACTCCAAACATTTATTTGTTCTTAATTCTCAATACTTTTGTTTTGCAACTTTGAATTTTTTGTATTTTTTTAGAAATAGTGTGCAGAATACAATAAATGTTTGAAACAGTGTAATGGTCAGTATTGTATTACATTGTATTATTGTATTACATTACAAAATAAAATAAATTAAATAAATAATTTCAAAGAAATTGAAGTAACCTGTTGAATTAAACATGACATTTTAAAAGTAGAAAGACTGAAATGATATTGTCTTGTAAAACATACACTAATATTTTTACAGTATTTTATTTACAAATTTTTACAGTGTACATACTAGTTTTTTTTTTTTAAAGGCATTTGAAATAGTATGCAGTATGCATGTTGTAAACAGTAGCTGCAAAAATTGCTAGTAAATTTCACAACTAATTTCAAAGAAACGGCAAGTAACACATTGAATTAAACATGAAATTTTGAAGTAGAAAAACTGAATGAACTCCAAGAATTTTTATTTATTTACAACTTAAATATTTTTTATATTGTACAATCCTATTAAAAAAGCATATAAAGCCTGCTACAACAAACTCTGAGGGAGTAAGGTAATATCATGATCTTCTTTACAGACTTGGGAAACACTCTTTACTTGATTTAGGTATCTTTAAATTTTTATTTTATTTAATTTTATTTATTTATTTATTATTATAAAAAAAAAAAATTTGTTTGTTTTTGTTCTGCACTAAAATGATTTGCGTCCTCGAATTTGACTTGGAAAGTCAAAAATTAAAAATAAATCATAATTGCATAACTTCAGGTTCATTGAAAATACAGTGTGCATACTATTAATTTAATAGAAAAAGCATATGAAATATTATGCAGTATGCAATGCTAAATGTTTGAAAGAGTATCATTGTCACTATGTTGTATGTTTAATATTATAGTACATTTAATTCAGGTGTCCAGACTGATGTCAAAAATGAATTATAATTGCATAACTTAATCCTCACACTGGACACAATGCAATGCATTGCATTTGCATACTGCACATTTTAGCAGATGCATACTGCTTTGTTTCAAAAACAGCTCACAGTACATCACTGGGATCATACTGTACTGTATGTGTGCGGTGTGTGTCGTGCCGGAGGGCAGATCACTGGTCAGAGAAGCTGAAGTGTTTCCATGGCAACAGCAGGATAGAGGGTTTACCATGAGCAACATCTGGCTGCCAGCATCACCATGCCAACGGCCAGAAACAGTGTAGTGTTACGTTCAGATTCATGCTTCAGTAAATAGTGGTTTAGTAGTTGTCATATTATATACAATATCGTTTGCTTTCCAGAGCATCACGTGATGTCCACGTTCAAGAGGAATCCTCTGGAACAGGCTTTCCGTCGGCCAAACGCCAACATCACCTCCAATTACCTGATCTACCAGTACTGGATCCTCGTCAGTCACAAGTTCCCCGCGCTCATCTATGACCTGTTCCTCCGACTGTCCGGACAGAAACCACAGTGAGAACAAAACAACCTCTTAAGAGTGACATTATACTCACATGAGCTGTTCTGTTCTGATAAAATAGCGCGGATCTGTAATATAATATAATGTAATCATTCAAATGTTTGGGGGTAGTAAGATTCATCAGTGTCTCTTCTGCTCACCAAGGCTGCATTCTTTCAATTAAAAATACAGGGAAAACGGTAATATTGTGAAATATTATTATAATTTAAAATAGCTGTTTTTTTTATTTAAATATACTGTATATTATAAAATGTAATTTATTTCTGTGATCAAAGCTGAATTTACTCCAGTCTTCAGTGTCACATGATCTTCAGAAATCATTCTAATATGCTGATTTGCTGCTTAAGAAACATTTCTGATTATTATCAATGTTGAAAACAGTTGTGCTGCCCAATATTTTTGTGGAATCCGTGATACATTAGATTTTTTTTCCAGAATTTTTTGATAAATAGAAGGGAAAAAACAGCGTTTATTTGAAATAGAATTGGAAATCTTTTATTATGAATGCCTTTACTGTCACTCTTGATAATGCATCCTTGCTGAATAAAAGTAGTAATTCATTTAACAACTTACTGACCCCAAACTTTTGAATTATAACATATTTTGTATTATAGAAGTAAGAATAAAATATCTATAGAAAACAAATCATTAGAAAAATAGCATGTTTTGGTAAAATCTTATATTGTATTATAGAAATAAGAGAAATGTCTATAGAAATTAGAAAATAAATTTTTTTTTTGTTAATATATAAATAGAAACATTGGTATTTATTACATTATTAATTTAATATACTTGAATGTAATGTATATAATTATTAACAATATATAGAAATCAAATATGTATGGAAATTAGAAAAATATATTGTCAATATATAAATTATATACACTTAGTATAATATACATTTATGATTATTAAAATTAATAATTAATGTTGTTTAATACATTATTATATTTGTTATATTATAGAAATAAAATATCTATAGAAATTAGAAAAATGCATGCATTGTTAACATATAAATAGAAATATCAGTAATTATTTTATTATTAATATGAATAATTCATAAAATTTAATCATAATACATATTAATATAATTTCTTATGTATTATATTACTGAAATAGATACAAAACAAATATCTATGATGGTGTAATTGTCATTGGGCGAATTCCAAACGAAAGTGAGCATCCCTATGCCCTACTCCCTTCGAAGGGCAGAGTTCTTTTAAGGGTGCAGGGCATTACTGTCGCCTATTCAATTTACGTTTGTATGTGAAGTCGAAGTCATACCCAACTTTGCTTTAAAAAGCATCGCAAGATCTCCTAACCGAAGATCACATGATCACAAACGGAATTCACTTCCGTGACGTGACCATCACATGTTCCCTTCGCTAATGGACTTCTGGAAGGGCCTTCGTGAAGGGATTCAGTTGTTCACTTTCGTTTGGAACGTCCCTACAAATGGCGTCCCCTTCCCGAAGTGCCCTTCAAGGGTGTTTGGAATTCGCCCATTGAGTGTTCATGTCTGTGTGACCTGTGTTCATTCAGAATGATGCGCATTTTCAACCGTCTGCACAAAGCCATCGGTCTGCTGGAGTACTTCAGCAGTCAGGACTGGACTGACTGACAGTCTGTGTGGACCAAACTCTGCTGAACTCTTCCTCGTGATCTTTCAGACCTTCAACTTTGACGTCCGTCAGCTGAACTGGCCCGAGTACATCGAGAATTACTGTATCGGCACCAAGAAGTACGTTCTGAACGAGGACATGTCAGACATTCCCGCAGCCAGACAGCACCTGAGGAAGTACGTCCACCTGATGACACGTTTACACTGTTATTGAACTGAACTGAGCTGAATAACGACACCATAGTCTTCTGTAGAGCTGCTTTACAGCTCAAATTGAATTTAAAAGTATTAGTTCTTTACCACAAACCTTTGAAGGGTAGTGTATATTATATTAAAGTGACATATCTATAGAACAAAATGGAAATTAGTTTTAAGAAAAAATAGTTTTATTATTAATTATAATACACTATATAAATGTATTATTAAAATGTATTTACTCTATTTTTAGTGGATTTAATACATCCTTGCAGATTAATGACAGCATTCTTACTGTCATATGTTGTATTATATTATAGAAATAACAAATAAGATATTTATAGAAAAAATAGAAATTAGAAAATAAGACAATGTTTTGCATGTTTTGGAAATGCAGAAATAGAAAAATTATTATTAATTATAATGTTATAATATAGTCCTTGAATAATAATATAATAAATGTATTATTATGACTGTAGATACTGTCAATTTTAAAAGATTTAATGCATCCTTGCTGATTGAAACTATTTTTACTCTTATATATTATATTATATTATATTAAATAAAATATCTGCATAAATAGAATAGAAAATCAGACAATATAGCATGTTTTGGAAATAAAGAAATAGAAAAATTATATATTATATGATGTTATATTATAGAAATAACAAATAAGATATTTATAGAAAAAATTGAAATTAGAAAATGAGACCAAATGTTTTGCATGTTTTGGAAATGCAGAAATAGAAAAATTATTATGAATTATAATGTAATAATGTAATATAATATAAATGTATTATTATGACTGTAGATACAGTCAATTTTAATAGATTTAATGCATCCTTGCTGATTAAAACTATTTTTACTCTTATATATTATATTATATTATATTAAATAAAATATCTGCAAAAATAGAATAGAAAATCAGACAATATAGCATGTTTTGGAAATAAAGAAATAGAAAAATTATATATTATATGATGTTATATTATAGAAATAACTATATTATATTATAGATGTATAGAAAATGGAGAAAATAAAACAGCGTGTATTGAAAAATAGATTTTTTTTTTTTTTTAACATTATCATGATTATATCATTAACATATAATAAAAATAAAACTGCATGTATTGAAAAATAGAAATTATTAAAAAAAACTTGTCATTATCATGATTCTATCATTAACATATAATAATACATATGAAAGCTTTGTGTGATGGTGAATAAATAATGGCCTGTAAACACACTGCAGCCTGTCCATAGAGAAGAGGAAGCTTGATTAAACACACATTGAGTTTGCAAGTTGACAGTCAGTAAGTGTTTGGTGTTTCATTGAATTATTGATCCTCCGTTCACAGGCTGAGAAACATCCGATACACGTTCAACACGGTGCTGCTGGTCTTCATCTGGCGCGTCTTCATCGCTCGCTCTCAGATGGCCAGGAACATCTGGTACTTCGTCGTGAGCTTGTGCTTCAAGTTCCTGTCCTACTTCAGGGCTTCCAGCACTCTGACCCAATGACCGGAGCAACAGGAAGTGTGTGTCCTCATCCTCCGAGCACTTCCTCTTCCAGAGGTGTCTTCAGCCATCCACACACACACACACACACACACACACACACAGGTGTTTCTTTAGCTTTCCTCACCGGCCGCTCGCTCCACCTGACTCCTCCATGTGCTGTTTTTAAAGGTGTCTTCTTTTATAACGACTGTCCTTAATACCGATTATATATGCAACAGTTTCTCCTTTACATTCTCGTCGCCATCCAAAATCCAGAGACGCTGCCTTTGTGTCTTCTGATGAAACACTGTCTTCTCGACTACAGACAGTGTTTCGGACCACTGGATCTTCGAGGTGTCCATGACTTACCGCTCAAAGCTTTGCTGTTTTCAGCCATTTCTCTCTCTTTGTGAGTGTGTGTTTGTCTTTTAACGGTTCGTTTGTGTCCTGTCTGTTCTAATACCATGTAATCAAGCCGGAAAACTCTTTCGGTTGGTGTTTTGTGTTTTTTTTTCTTGTTTAGTTTGCTGCGTTCGGAGGGAAAGGCCTGTGAACGCCAACAGATCTGATGCATTTATAACATCACACATATTTTTTTGCCAAGTCGTCGCTTGCTCAACTGTATATCTACCAGTTTAATCATAAACACTCAAAATCAAAAGAAAAAAAAAAGTCTATTCATGAAGAAAATGCAGCCTATTTTTAAGGAACTAAAATAGTTCCTAAAATAACATTTTCATGACAATTAAGCACTTTTACCACCAAATTTAATGCATTTTTAACGATTCTAGAATTATTCTAAAAGTCAATTCTCATTACTGTAATACAGTGCTTTTACAGTATTACTGTAAAAATAAATACTGTTATATTATTACATTTTAAATATTAAATTTTTATTTAACAATTAATATAAAATATTATTATATATAATTATTGTAATTTATTATAATTGTACTTATTTTTAATAAATTATATATATCTATATATAAATAATAAATATAACAATTTTATTTTTTTACATTTATTTTATTGAATTATTATTATTGATTAATAATTCAATTTAGAAAATATTAAAATATAAAATTACATTTTTTCCAAATTTCTTTGAAATATGACACACTCGACCCGTTTCACCCATTTATGTCTGTTAATTTTTCTGTTTGTACAGCAGAACACACAGTTTAGCGTCAGACTCTTTCTGCGAGTGTTAGATGAGGATATTTCTGTCTGTAGACGGGCGTAAGATAGTTTCATCGGTCTGTAAATATTCTAGATATATAAATATATTCCTTTTCAGATGATATACATACCAAAAATGTACAAATGTATATTTGCGAGAGTGAATCAAAGGCTGGTTAAGAACATCTATTTCCCGGAAATGACTGAGGGCTTCCAATATTTTTTTGAAGAAAAGCGAAAAGTGAAGATAAAAAGCGTCGAGTCTCTATTTCAATGTTGTTTTATGTGTATTGACCACTGTTTAAAGTGCTCTGAATCTAGAGACGTAAAGGGACTTAAACCTGCAAACCTTTTCATCCGATTTCAAGGGAAACGTCCCTCACCAGCTTTTCAATCATTGGCTTTGGTAGTTTCTATGCAGCACAACCTGTGCTTCTTCCTTCTAGAAACGTTTCTATTTTGTTACCGTTTGCTTTTTCACCTTTCTGAAGCACTTTTATTTCTGTTTGCTTGTCAGATGAGCCAAATTGAGTGCATTTATAACGTTTTATGAATCTACTACTCCGCCAGCGGTTGAATATAAACCTGACGGCTAATATTTCGTACGGTTTTACAGCATCGTGATCAATCGACACTATTTGAGGATCTCATGAGTGTTCATTTTTCTACACTCCCCCTGGAGGTCTATTGCCAAACTGTATTTTTAGATCACCGTTTCTAAGACGTGTCTGCCTTCTGTCGTCCGGTCTTTTGTATGTCGCACACAGTATTCATGCGTCTTCCTCAGCTCGTTTAGCAGTAGTGGAGCGATTACTTTAGATGATTTGAGATGTTTTTTCTCCTGCACGTTACGAGTCTCAGTAGAGAAAGCACACGCACACTAACATCTCCTCTTGGAGCATTCCAGACATGAGAAAAACAGCCATTTTTCTACGAGAAACGAACACCTTGGCTTGATGTCTTAACAACGGCAACCCTTCGTTTTTTTAAGACAAGCTGAGCTTTCAAATGAAGCTTCTACTGCCAACGTGATCTTTACAATCTCAAGCGTTTGTGCTCTGCCACTGATGTTTGTACAGATGAGGTGATTGAGCTGCATTGGGTTTGCAGTAAAATTATTTTTTTAAAGAAAAGTCCCCTACTGAAAATGTTTCTTTCGTCCAATGTAACGCGTGTTTGCTTTTTACATGAGATTTTCACAGTAGTGGCTGACATGGATTTTGACCTTCCTCTGCTCAACATTTGTCTCCATGATGTGTTGTACGGTCGAGGTCCTTGAATGAAAAACTGTACTTTGATAAATTGTATGCGTGACCGTTTGTGGCAAAAGAATTCATGATAAAATAAACTGAAATGGCCAAGTTCCTGGTTGTCTTCATCTTTTATTTCACCACACTATGAAACCATATCAACACAAACATGGAATGATATTCAGAATTGGTTTTGTATGTTTTATGTTCTGGGTCAATTTGACCTGCAACACATTTTTGGGTTTTCAGAAATACAGGTAAGAACGTCTGTCTTGAAATTGTGTGACTATTTCAGGTCATGAACATGGCTGGAAAGTTTCAACGCTCTGAGGTGTTGTGGCATGTGCGTATGAAATCTGACCTGCAAATTTTTAATTTAAAGGCAGGTGCACAGACAATTAAAAAAAAAAAAAATAAAATAAATAAATATATATATATATATATACACAAAATATGTTATAAAATATGTATATATATATATAAAACAAATGTTTAGACCATAGTTATAATAGTTTTTAAAAATCTCTCGTACATTTTTTTGTTAATGCACTGAAAAAAAATGGTGTAGAATTTACTTTGAAACCATTTTTACTCAGAAATTGCTAGCAGATTTTAGAAATGATTACAAAGAGACAGCAACACACTGAATTAAACATACAGTTTTGAGAAATTCTTGTAAAATGTACTCCAAAAAAAAAACTTAATTTACAACTTTACAATTTTGTTTTAAAAAAGTGTAACCGCTAATGCTAACACTTCCGCTTTTTTTTTTTTTTTTGAATGGTTGCCACTGAATAAAAAG